AATACATGTGACACTGTAATTGTTACTATTAACAACTGCTAACAGAAAAATAAGGGGAAAGGGCTTGCAAGAGAAAAAGACATTTGAAAGAAAAAAATGATGGAGAAAAGTGTTTTTTGGAATTAAAAAGAGATAGAGCCATCTTTGTACCCTAGGGCACCATACACATACCACATTCAAAAAATGCTTATTAAATAGAACTGAAAAACCATCGTATGAATTCTGTTAGCACTAATTTCTCCAACGTTGAGTACTTCGGCGTCACATGGGATGACTAATGCTGAAACGCCCAGGGCTCCTGAGAGCGCTGTGCCTAAGTCATGGTAAACAACACAAGTATAAAAGCTATTATGGATAATTTTCCTCCATTTACTTTTAACAGCAGGTAAAATGAACTACCATTACAGAAAATATACTATCAAAGCGAGAGAGGGGATGAAACAGCTCATCGTAAAACAAAACCAAACCAAAAAACTCAGGAAGTTGAACTGATGTAACTTTTTTCTCTTGCCAGTTAGTTACCCAGATGTGGTATTTGAAAAATGGAACTCAGCAAAATCCTGAGTGTAACAGCAAATGAAGAGTCAAAGGGAAACATCTTTTTAACTCTTAAATGGCTGACCACGAAGAAGTGACAGTAAACTGAAGCTCTGAAGATGTGAAGCACTTGAAGGGTAGGAAAGCAGCTCACTGTAAACAATTCCTCACTTTGCTACAAAGACCTAAGGAGGCAGAAAGGGAGGGAAAGCAGATTCCTGGAAGACTTTAACCTGAGTATCCTAAGACCTGTAAAGACACTTTTCCCCCAAGTTTAAACACGTGAAACTATAACAGCAAACACACCACACACACACACACACACACACACGCACACACACAGAGGTCCCCATCTTGTCCAGGCACAAGTCTCTGATCCTTGAGTGTGTTGCTCTCTCAGCACACTGTTCCTCTCTCGACATTCAAGTTCTCTGCTGAGTCACTGTCCCCATCATGGACATACTTGTCCCCTAGCCTAACCACATCCCCCCATACTCCAATGACTTTCTTAGGAGCAACTGTCTCCTACAAGCCCCTGGGCCTGCATAGGTTTTTGTTTGCTTCCTCGCCTCTTTGTGTTAGCTTTATCTCCAAATAAACTGAATCCTTCTCAGGAATATGTATGTGTCTTACACTTTTTATCCATCCCCAGTGGTGCTCAGTTGATGCATTCCTTCATTCAATAATAACTATGTAATAGGCACCCACTATGTGCTAGATATTACAAAACGCATCAACCAGGGGCTGGGCAGGTGGCTAAACGGAAAAAGTGAATGCCGCACTAGCACAAGGTCCTGAGTCCAGATCCCAGCACATACATGAGAAAGCTGGGTTGCTTTCTGTATCTGAAACCATAGCTCACCTGATCACAGGAATTGGGGTGATACAGGAGTGTGGAGACTGGTGATCCCTGAGTTTAAAGATCAACCAGCCTAGTCAACGGGTAAGTACTAGATTCAGTGAAAAACCCTGTCTCAAAAGATAATGGGGAGAACAACTGAGGAAGATACTCCACACTGACCTGTGGGCACCATACATTTTGCACACATACAATTTTTAAAGCATCAGTGAAGGCATCGTAAGGAGTCTGATTTGACAGGAGGAAGGTCCTCCCGTCTGCAGTAGAACAGTGCGGGCATGTGGCTCACATTTGTAGTTGCTTTTTATGGCCGCTAAGAAATAAATATCTATAAAGGGGGCAGGGCAGGGTGATGAGGTAGAGACAATCAGTAATCCAAGTGACACGTGGTGGCTGCCTGAGCAATACACACTACTGGGAGTGGTGATAAAGGATTCAGTTCTGGTACAGTACGAAAGTAGCAGTGACGGGATTTGCTGATGATGGAATTGATTTGGGTGGTAACAAAGAAGCCCATGGTGGTTCAAAGGATTCTGAGCTGAGCAGCCAAGAGGACAGAACTGCATGAGGCGAGATGCAAAAATTGCAGGGGAAACATGATGCATGGCAGCAGGAGGCAACAGGAGTTTCTAGATAGCTGTGGCACCGGAGCGCCATGAACCCTGCTCATTTATCCTAGAATAGCTGAAGTTAGTTTCTATTTCATCTTAAAAATCAATAACCCTCCAACCATCCCTTTCTGCTTGTGATTTCAGTTTCTCTCTACTGCAGTTACGTTTTAGGGACTCAAGACTGTGAAGAAGAGCAAGTTCTGAGACTAGCTCTAATAAAGAATTCCCTATGATTTGGATGATTTCTTTGCTTTAAAATTCGGTGGTGTTGGTAATCAGGAAAGCATCATTAATCATTTAGCTTAGAAAAATGTTCCTATAGGACATTGGATGTAAAAGCAGAATAATAAAACAATTTCTTTTTTTGTCAGAAAGGGCTCCCTATAGCCCCAGCTGGCCTAGAACTTGCTATGTAGATTAGGCTGGCCTTGACCTCACAGATATCTGCCTGCCTCTGCCTCCTAAGTGCTGGGATTAAAGGTATATACTACCATGCTAGGCCCAATTTCTTTATACTCAACACTTATTTAGGCAACCATGTGTCCTTTATGAATCTGAGCACAAACCTTATACATACACAATGTGGGAAAGAAAATGATGATGCTGGACTGCTCGACACAGAACAAGGAGGGGAGTTTTAGCATCTGATAACCCCCAAAGGGGTGGGGGGGCACATAAGCAATAGCAGCATCTGTGAGGCCTCCAGGAGGACCAGGCTGGGATCTAGACAAGAGTTTCGCGGGGAAACCTCAGGCTTCTCACTTGTAAAGTGAGCATATCTGGCCTATCTCATCTCTCAGGGTCTTTCTTACCCATCTGAACATTCTAAAGGACATCAGCAATCTCTAAAATATTCTTTTGAAAAGGGTTTTTGAAAGTAGATGGAAGAAGAGAATAGACAGTAGTCATAACAAGACAGTTCCAAGATCATTCAAGAAGTAGAGTGTGTACACTGGTTTTAAATATGAAAATCTATGAAAAAAAAGAGGCTTAAAACACAGGAGGTCAAAACATAGTGTGACAAGCACTACCCAAAGTGGCAGCTGCTTCTGCCTAAAACTATCCCACGACCACACAGAAAAGGCTGAGAAACTAGAATTAACAGCAGTGTGTATGCTGTTTCATATTTACATATGTAAATAATATATACATAACAGGGAACAATCTTATTAGCAGGACATTGGTCCCAGGACATGCCTTAGATGTCAAAAATCAGTCTGGGTTGAAGTCCCTTAAATTGAATGGCATCATATCGGAAAAAGCCTGTGTACAACCTCCCATTCACTTTTGATCATGTCTAGATTACTTAAAACACCAACTAGAGGGGCTGGAGAGATGGCTCAGAGGTTAAGAGCATTGACTGCTCTTGGAGAGGACCAAGGTTCGAGTCCCAGCACCGACATGGTGGTTACAAACCATCCTTAACTCCAGTTCCAGGGAAATCCAAAGCCCTCTTCTGACCTCTGCAGCACTGCACAACACGGGTGCACTCACATACATGCAGACAATACACTCATAGACATAAAATAAAAATAATAAATAAAATATTTTTTAAAAAAACCACCAACTAGAATGCAAATGCTGTGTAAATAGTTGCTCTACCGTTTAGAGACTGAATGGTAAGATGGAAAAAGTCTGCATCTATTTAATACTGATGTTAATTATTTTTCTAAATAATTTCAATTCATGTTGGCTGAATCCACAGATGTAGAACTTGCAGAAGAAAGGGCCAACCATACTCAGAATTTAATTTTCAAAGATAGAAATAATAATTGTGAATGATTTTTTGTCTTGGGTTTAGGAAGAAGTGGGAGAGCCCCACCTGACTTGGGTTCCCAGTAGGGGTGACACCACTGGCAGTGGTAGCAATAGCGAAGGGTAGAAAGTACATTGGAAAGGACACTAAAAAAGATTAAGAAAAGCATGCCTTCATGAGAAACCAACTCAGACGAAGAAGGGCCTCTGTGAAGGAAGATCAGAGGGACATGACTCCCCACCCTCAAGCCTGAGGCAGTTCCAGATACAGTCAGGGAAGTGGTTCTCACTGTGCAACCTTCACGAGGAATGAATGCTTGTGGTTTACACAGACAGACATGCCAAGAGGCACTCTTGCATGCCTGCTTTTCCTTTATGATATGGATGGAAAAATTCTTTGAATATGCTTTTTGAAAATGCATCAGAATGCGTTTACTATCAAGAGTGCAAATTTATAATAATGGCATCTTAGTCCTAAAACGCATTACAAATTTTCTCTTAAATTTACTATGTGACAGATTAAGGTAGTTCCTGTTTTAGTTTTAAGCCAAGTACACAGATGCTATAGGCTGTTTGTTCTTTTGCAATGAAATGGTACTGCCTGCTTTTTCAATCATATGTTCTAGATACTTAAATATTTGCTATAATCTATTTAATAGCCTACTCTCAATTACTTATCAAGCAACTTGTTTAAATACGAGTTTTTTGAAAATTTTATTTTATTTTCAATGATGTGTATGTATCTGTATGTGGATATGTGCACGTGAATGCAGCTGCCTGTTGAAGCCAGAGGAACTGGATCATCATCTGGAGCTGGAGCTATAGGCAGTTGTGAGCTACCCAACATGGGTGCTAGGAACTGAACTCAGGATCTCTGCAAAAGGAATACATGCTTTTGTTTCATAGAGAAAATATTTTGTAATTTAGTGTATTCGTTCAGATAAACTCCCTTTTTCCACTGCTACCCAAGGTAGCTAGCTTCCTTTTGAAATAATACTCTGAAGTATGTCATAATTTTTTTTCTCTATTTAAAAATCTAGATACTTGCTAATTAATAATCATGCACTTGATACAGTTTTCGTAGAAAAGTTTCAAATATCATAGCCTTCATGCTGCAAGGAAAAGTCTAATTGGCTTATTGGTGCTGCTGTTTTCCCAAAATGTGTTTTTTTAATGGCATATTAAACAAATGATTCTCACCTGTTTTTGATTGGAGGTTTCTTCTTGGTTCTTCAGGGGCCTCTATGGGCTGATCAGCCAGGAAAACTCGAGCTTGGTCTACAGCATTCAGGACAGAATACTCTTTCTCCTTTAATTCATGTCTCAGTGCCTTTGCAAAAAGAAAGAAAGCAGGATCTGTAAGTGACCTGGTGTGTTCAGCAAAGAATGGAGCATCTTTAGTTTGACCACTTCTGGCCACACCTGTAGAGGAATGGTTAAAAATAACATTTAAACTAAATGTACAAGTAGACGTGCTTTACTGACATGAATAATGAAAAGCATGAAGAGAAGCAAAAAAGACAATTCCTGAAGAACTTAACTATGGGGAAAGAAAGGAATAGTGGAAGGGAAACTTTAAAATATTCACCTATGGGAATCTGCTACAACATATTTGAATTTACAGGATGTGTACTCTTAGAATTTCCTCTAACATCAAGTTGCTAAAACATAACAGCCTGCTCTAAGACACTCTTACAACAGACAAAGATTGCATCAAATGATGCAGAAGAAGGTAATTCACAACTAGTAATGAGATCCTCAGAACTGCTTCATGTTCTTTAGAATACATTAAGAAAAAAAATTAAGAGACAGAAACAAATTAAAGCACATGAAATCAAAACTAAACCAAAGAGAACACATAAAAGACAGTCCCCAATGATCTTAAAGTAGGTTCCACCTCTCATGCCGAGGCAATAACTATTTTTCCCTTGTGAGGTTTTTCATGCAAATCTACTATTCTCAGAACAGCTTGTCTTTAGCACATTTATTCTTTTAAGTAGGGCTAAAATTCCATCCTTACCTCTATAAAATATTTAGTGATTAAGATTCTAATTGACTAGGGTTTAAAAACAACTAAACCCATTCAGGGACCACAAGATACCAGCACACAAAAACTTCTCATGAGCCATTTTTATACTAACTAAATCAAAATTGTTGCTAATATAGTTATCCTTTTAAAATTATACACATTTACATCTTCTGGGCCTAATATCGTGTTTACAGAGCAATTCTTTGGTGATACACTATGAAAATTCAAGAGTTTTTTTCCTTCCTAAAATGCTTCACTCTGATATTGTAGGATCCAAGTCTTTGGACATAACTAACTCTTTAATAGTGTTTGACACAACTATATTTGAATGAAAGGTAATTTGGAGCCTAAATCCTTGTTTTCTATAGTCCATATGAAGTAAAAACTGGAAAAAAAATCTAGAAATACCAGAATAATCATCTCATGTAAAGCTATGAAGATAAACTTGAGAAACATTCTGATGACGAAGCTGATAGGGGCTGTTAAAGATGGAGAGGAGAAAGAACAGCTGGGACAAGTACAGCCAAATGTTATCTGACCTTCAAGCTATGTGCAATTATTATATGACAAGAAATTAAAGGCAAATGAAAGTAACACCCCCTCAAATGGCCAATCCAGTGATTGTGTATAAGAAAGCAAGTTGGAATAAAAACTTCCTCAAAAAATCCATATACAGATTTATGTGTCTTCCCTAGCATTTATCAACAAACCGTGACAACGAAGTGAGCCCAGGCCAGCAGCACCCCAATCAATGAGTATTAAATGCCTGTGCTACAGAACACACAGCCTTCGACACCCCTAATGACCATGTTGGGGAGACATAGCCTTCAACAGTTCTATTGAAGAAATACAGCTTATGAATATGTTTCCAGGGTTTGAGGACTCCAGGAAACAACAACAACAACAAAGGATCTGTCTTCTGACACTTAAAGTTTCCGATATACTGAAAGAAAAGAGACACAAGGGAGTTGGGGGGAAAAGCAGGTTTTCTTCTGGAAATATCTAAATACATTTATGAGTCTTGAGCTATTCTTTCAACAAGATTACTGTATGTTTACATGAAGAAGCTCCAGAGGGATAAAAATACTGCCAGTTTTTATTCAAAAACCACCTGGAAATAAATATAAAATGATATGAAAATCAGATTGCTTAACAAACAGCAGTAAAAAGAAGAGTATATTACAGTGTGTGTGAATGCATATATGTGTATTTAATTTTAATAGTCAAGAGTATGAAGTCCCCAACCTGAATCTAACCAGTAAATTCAGAAGCAACGAAGATTCCTAAAATGATATGCAGGGTTGTTTTGGAATTTTTCTCTGGGAGGGGACACACCAGGAATGTACCCATTCAGCTGCAAGGTGCTGAAGAGAAGGAGAAGGTGCTAGAATGCCATCTCTTCACTCGGGCTCGTCTAAGAGGGGGGGAAAACCCACAGGCAGTATTTTAGAGACACCCAAATGAGAAGCCAGGAAACACCAACAGGTGTGAAGGGCAATGAAAGTGTACAAAACACAAACAGCAGGTGCACTCTGGCAGGGAAGAGCACAGTGCTGGTCCTCTGGAAATAGAAAGTGCTTATGGGCGTATCCCACAGGGCGCATTCAGATCCCATAGTGGAGGAAGGAGATGGGGATCCCTGGGACTTAGCGTACCATATTCTTGATGGGGCCTTTTGGACTATTTAGTTCACAAACTGCCTTGGTGGTGGGGAGGGAGGAGGACAAAGGAGACATTGGTCTTTGAATTCATTTAAAAATTTCTCAAGTCCAAGTAGAAATAAATATTTGCCTCCAGAAAGGCTATCGGTAAAATGAACCCATCAACTCCCCAAGAGGCTGGAATTTTATCACTAGCATAGAGGCCTTCACAACAGAGCTGTTTCTCTGGGTTGTGTTTGCTGTGCGCAGAAAGCTCTGTCCCCAGACGGCTACACTCACATCCTTTAATGCCTCAGACAGATCCATGGACTCATCCTAGTATCACAGTAGCATTTCACCTTTCCCATTCCCTACATTTCCTGGTCCTATTAGTTTGCTTCCCTCTCTTTGTATTTCCCAGACCCATCATTCCCACTATGCAAGGAAAAGTATTCCTTTAGTACATCTGTTTGATCTTTGTCTTAGGTACACTGCAAATTCCAGGGACTTCTGGATTTCTCATGTGGTAAATTAAGCATTTAGCTCAGCTTGACATACTTCATTGTTATAATGGTATCTATTTGAGTCATGCTGAGAGAGAGGTTCATCCTCCAGTGAAACTCATGCACTAGTAGCAGGAAGGAAGATTCCAGTGTGTACACTCGGGAAGCACACACCTCTTAGCACTTGTAAGTGGAGGTAGCTGAGGCTCAAGATACAGGTAGAGGTTAAGTCAGAAAGACCACAGTATGTGCTCTTGTACACTTGACAGACAGTGAGGAGACTGGCCAAGCTTCTGGAGAGTGAGATAGTTGGCTAAGGAAGTGACTTCGGATTCACATATTTGTCTCAATACTATTGGGTCTCCTAGTTTACTAAAACCCAAATCTAAGTATGAGAGAATCCCCCATGGACTGTTTTCATTTCTCACCACATCAAACTCCAATCCTTCACTTAAAAGAAAATCTTTTCAGCACAGAATGCTTGCTGGGGAATGTCTGCTGAACTGCTTTGATATGCCAAGGTACAAAGTATGGCAGGCAAGCAGGGGCAGGAAGGAGGCACCCCAAGTAAATAAAATATTGGGCTCTGACTCTAAAGCCAACTCATTTCCCAGTATCTTAGGGAATAACATACATCCACTTATAATTGGTCATCCTCTATTTTGCAAATTTGTTATTCAATTTGTCCCATTTCAATAATATTTTATTGCATTCAGAAACAGATTTGATTTGCAAATGCATTACACATATAATCATCACACCACCCTTTACCTCTCAATTAGACATAAAACAAAACCTGCATTTCCCTACCACCTGGTGAACATTAATGATAAGTTAATTAGACTCCAATAGGCTATTTTGTATACAAAGCTACAAAGTGGCATTCAGTTTTCAGTTCTAGTATCACATGGCACAGATGTAGGCCACCTTAAATAAATATAAGACAATCTAATTGGACTCTTCCTAGTTTAATGACTTTATATTTTCACTGAAAACAATCCTCTTCCAGACAACAAGTGTTGGTAAGGATGTGATAAATGGAACCTCATGCACTGTGGGTGAGAAGGTAAAATGGCATGACACTTTAGTTTGGTGATTCCTCAGAATGCTAAAACAGACATCATATGACCCAGCAATTCATACCTAGGCACACACAGAACTGAAAACATCTATTCACATAGAAACATAATGTTCATGATAGCATTGACACATAACCATCAATCCAAGCATACAACCCCAATACCCAACTGGTAAGTGGATAAGCTGGTAGATGTACACAGTGGATCTCAGCAATGAAAATGAATGATACACACTACCATTGGATAAACCTTACAAACATGCTCAGCAAAATACACTAGACAGGGAAAGCCTATAGCGGGAGATTTCATTACACAGTCATGTCCATAGAGACAGAAATAGATTAAAAGTTGCTTAGGGTTTGAGCCTTGAAGGGATGGAGATAAATGGGAAATATATTCTCTCTCTCTCTCTCTCTCTCTCTCAAATAAGCCTCATTATATCAAGTAATAAATGCACAGAGAGATGCAAAGTTAGTCATTTTCTTCTAGAAGTTTTGATCCACTTACAGAAAATGTGGAACTGAAATCAGCAGTCTATATGGAAATTCTTGGGGTGCTTGTTAGGTTGGGTAGATTGCTCTTTCTTCTGTATTTATAACTTGTACATTTTTGAGATTGACTTCAAAGCACTGAGCCATGCAAATGCTTAAGCAAAGAAGCTCCATTAAGAAGGATCTATATACCCTATGGCAAGCAGGCCAGCTACTCAGTAAATCTTGCTGTTGGTATGCACTAAACATCTTCAGCATCCTATGACTCTAAGGAACAAATCAATTTGGGTTATGCAAATGGCAAATACATTCAAAAGAACATTCAAGAGAGAAATTGGTATTTAGGGATAAACAATAGTTTGCTACAAAGTAAGTATACACACACATCCTTTAAATTAATGCTTTAAAAAAGAAGAGAAAAAGACATGGGCTGTTCCTAACTACTTAAAATGCACATCTTAACTATAAAATCTTTCCCCAATTTTTGAGAGTGTAAATTCAGAGCTTAATGAACCATAGCAGAAAAACCTGTACTGTTCACTATCTGGGGTCGGGGTGGGGTGCGGGAGAGAAGAATTTCATCTCAAG